TGTGTGTGTGTGTGTGTGTGTGTGTGTGTGTGTGTGTGTGTGTGTGTGTGTGTGTGTGTGTGTGTGTGTGTGTGTGTGTGTGTGTTCTCACCGGTCAATGCTGAGGGCACACAGGCTGAGGACAGTGATCCCCACTGAGGCTTTCTGAATGAACGGCATCAGCTTACAGACATACACACCGAATGGCCAGTCCTTAGCAAACAGCTGGAGAAATAAAGAAACACCAGGAGGAGACAGGAAAGATACTTTTTAATAACAGAAATGTTAGAGGTTATATTTAGAGGTCTTTTTTTATCCTAAGTACTTCCAAAACTAATTTAGCCAATGCCAAAACCTACAAAAGAAGGCTATTCTTCCCTGATTAAATTCCACATCTGGAATGACTCAGTCTAATCAGAGATAGGACAGTACATGCAATAACAAAGCAGGATATATTTTATAGTTAATACATGATTACACAGCATAAAAAGACATATTTTTTTAATCTTCAAATTCACTTGTTCAATAAATCTAAAAAAAAATAATAATATGATTTTGAAACTAAAATAGGTCCTGTTTTGTGTTTTGGCTGTTGAGCCCACGTTTATCCTCTGCTGGTTATATTCAAAGAACCACCAGACACGATAATACATATCTCCTGAAATTCTGAACTTTTATTTTGAAATTGTTTTTTAGTTTGTGTGAATGTTCCCTTTTTGCCTGGATGAAAAGCCTGCACATTTTAAGTTAAAACTAAATTTATTGGCAAACCGCAGTTGTAAACATGTAGTACATAAACAAGGGCCAGCCTCAAGAGAGAGGCTAAAAGGCAACGAGAACAAATCCAACTTTTAATAAGCTTCCCAAAATTGTAAAATGAATGGCAGGGCCATTATAAAAACCACATTAAACTCAGGGCTGCACAACATATCAAATACAGTATATTTAGATATTTATGTGCATTTTCAGTATTGCAGAGGACTGTTTGGACTGCAATAATCATATGCTATAAGTGCCATTCATTAATGGCTTGAATGTCAATAATGTATACTATATGAACAATAAGTATTTGGGTGCTTAATAGTTGAATTCATATGTTTCAGTCTGGGATTGTACTCAGCCCCTTATCTTTGGTGATTGGTATTGCCACTACTACATTTTTTGTGTCTTGAGGAGTTGTGTTTCAGAAGCATTCTCCTATGTTCAGGGTATATATTGTTTTATTTTATGTGGTGGTTGTTGTGTGCGCATTGTGTTGTTAGAATAATGTAGTAAGAGTACATGTTGTAAGAGTACCAACAAAATATGCTGAGTTTTTCGATACAGATTGTGTCCAATCAAATATTAGAAAACATTTTCTACTTGTTCATTCCACAAACATGGAACTGGAGGAAAATGATGCTGTTGTTGGTTTGGACTTTACTTGAAGATTCATTTCATCCATTTCTTTTATTTAACCAGGAAAGTCTCATTGAGATTAAAAACTTCTTTTTCAAGGGAATCCTGGCCAAGAGGCAGCAAAAATTATACATTTCATAGAGTTACTCAATTAAAACACATTACAATCACTATTCAAAACATTCACAATTCAAGGAAGTAATATCTAATGGCCTCAATCTGGATTTAAAGGTGCTCAATGGGATCAATTCWGTTAACTTCCAGACTTTTTGCAACATGTTCCATGTTGATGGGGCAGAATAAACAAAGGCCCCTTTTCCCAATTCTGTACAGAGAAATGGGACAGAGACCAAGAAATGATTGTTTGAACGCAAAGAGTGTGAATCAATGCTTTTTTGTGTGATTAGATCTCAGAAGTAAGATGGTAGCAGTCCAAGCAAAGCCTTATAAACAAAAATGTACCAATGTCCTAAACTCCTGGTGGACAAAGAAAGCCATCACACTCGACTGTACAGATCACAAAGATGAGTCAAGGCTTTACAGTTTGTAACAAACCTCAGAGAAGCATTATAGACAGCATAAATTTTTTAAAGATATTGTGCTGAGGTATTCATTTATAACAAGTCTCCATAATCTAAAATGGATAAAAATGTCGCTGTGACAAGCCACTTTTTAACCTTAAAAGAAAAATGTATTTTATTTCGAAAAAAGAAGCCCAGTTTAAGTGAAGTGAAGAAAACAGAAGCCAAATGACCAGACAGATATTCCAGAGTAGAGCTACAGAGTAAAGATGACTAGATGACAATGAGGGGAGGATGCTTACTTGACAAGTTGTAAAACATCAGACATTCTTTATTGCATGGACATTTTATACTCAAAAAGACACTGTAGTGAGTACTCCTAGTAACTCCTTCCACTGCAGCAGACATATACATATACAGAAACAACACAGCAACAGTACCACTGGCAAAAAGGGTGTTTATTTTCAGCTGATGATGGAAGAGTTATAAGAGAGAGAGATCTGCTATTTCTTTTGCTAACTAATGAGAAGCGTTAAAGTGCAAAATTGTCACAAAGAGACTGCCATCATTTCTGACAGACAGTGTGGGAGTGTGTCCCTACACTCTCTGGCTGAGGCATACTTGTCTCCCGATCAGCACACTCAGGGAGAGGTGCCTGTGTCCTCCACGCTGTCTTGTCTGTCAGTGATGTCCATGTTGTTGTAGCTCTACAGGCCTCTCTTTCACCCCTGAGAACAACTCATTTTGGTGTGATCTCTTTAAATGCACATGAGGCACTTCACACCCCTTCTGGATCTTACTCCCAATGGTCAATGTCCACGCCACTGTTTGGCCATTTTTGTAGTGGCAAGTGGCATCAAAATGGACATGTCTAGTGGCACTGGAGCCAGGGACGACCATGATAAGCAGGTCATGTCACAGCAAATTAAGGATTTGGAAAGCTTTAAAAACAGGGGCCACAAACTCAGAAAGGCCTTAACATCTTCAGGAAATGCACAAACTGTAACGCACACTCCTGTTATCTATGTGCGGACAGGAAACTGACATATTTTTTCCTGTAAAACTGGACAGCCCAGAGTTGTTAACTTTGGACGAATGGATTAAATTGATGAGAGACTGTGCAAACAAGAGGGTACACAGAAAAAGAACAGGCCCAGATTGTTTTTGAACACCTAGGGGGCACTGCCTGGACCAAAATTAAATTCCTACCAGCAGCTCAAAGAGAGAGTGTGAAAGGTTTTGATGTTTTTAAAGAAGTTTATAGTGCATGAATTCAAGTATCTCATTACACACAGATTCTTCAACTGTAAACTTGAGGGTGAGTCATTAATTGATTATTCTCATGCTCTTATGGATTTGATGGACCACACAGTCAAAAATGATGTACAAGCAGCTTCAAAATCCTCTAAATTATGTGACCTGTTCTTTGATGTTGTGAGAGCCGGCACTTCGAGATTTGATTAATGCCAACTAGGGGTCGACCGATACGTTTGTCCAATCCATTCTTTGGGTCATGCGAGCGCATGTTGCCGCCCCCACCCTGGGAGAGAGAGTCTGGTAGAGTGTCAACAATAATAAGGGTGAGTTATGAACTTTAAATGTGTTGACCTTACACCATAGTACACTATAACTTTCCCACTTTTCAGCTCAAAATATACAGAACTAAACCCAGTCAGACACAAATGTTAACTTTGTTTACCTTATACACATTGATGGGGATGGCAATTACAATATAAAGCAGGTCTCCCAGTGCCAGGCTGCCAATCAGCACATTGGGTCCATTCCTCATACACTTGTTCCTGTAAATGATCCTGAGCAGCGTCGAGTTGCCAATGATCCCCAACACAAAGATCAGGCAGGATATGACAGTGTTCACATACTTGAAGGCATTCTTGATCTCTGTTTGCTTTATGCACATGGGGGGGTAAGGGCTCCGAGGGAGTCCTGGCTGTGGGGGCAGAAGCGGGTCAGACGTGTTGTTCTTCGAGGGTTCTGAAGCTTCTTGCACACTCTGGGAATCACGGACAAACCTGGAAACTTGAGCCTCCACAACCACCAAGAGACAGAGCAGTAGGACTGCTCTCATTTTCCCAGAAGCGTCACACATTTGCCACAAGATGTTGGCTCACTCAAAGAAGCTCCAGGTGTTGCTCCAGGCAAAGTGGGTCTGTGAAAACCTCTGTGTCCTGCAGAAGAAAAAAAAAAGTAATCAACCACCATGTTAGACAATGGCAGAAAATGTTTTCCAATAGTTTTACAGAAAGACAATGAAATTCTTAGAATAAACGGTGATAGCAATACTATACTGATGTCAAAAAGCCAAAACAAGAAATATCACAGAAATACATGCAGACAATATTGCCTCAGAGTTCATCTTTGTAGCCGCAGAGTAGACTTGGCCGGAAATCCCAGGGGCGGTATCCCTCCAAGTTTTGAATAATGTAGGCCAAACCCCCCAATACATCCTCTAAGGCTATTCAGCTGTCTAGCCGTGAGACCCCTCCCCCATAATTAATTTTATAATATATTAAGCAAAAATATATTTTTTGATTCACTGGCATAAATTCTGTCTTTAACTTGTTGTCTACTAGTTGAAATTGGGCCAGTCTGTCAAGAACTCCCAGGCCCCCTTTCCTCCCAGTTTGCTGATACTAACAAGTATGTTACCCTTCCTCCAATGGTGAATCCCCAGAAAAATGAACAATGAAACCAAATACAAAAACTTTTTATTCTGTAGTTGAAGACATTTAATTTCCCATTGGGGAGCTTTGTCAATTTAGTACAGGAAAGTGTGGAGTTGCCGGCTTTTAACTGCACGAGAAACTCCAGTGTGGAGTTGAGGAAGCTAAATTCACATGCAAGATGAATCAGTCTCCCTTTCCACTGGAGAGTCATAAGGATCTTTGTTTGCTTCACTCACAAATGATGTTTTGGTCACATGCATGAAGATGTGGATTAGAGGGAATCTGACTGAGTATTAGGCTTAATGCCACATTGTAAGTTTTTGAAAGCTGAAATCTGAGACTTCTGTTTAAATGGCTTGCTTTGGTTGTTTTTCTCCAATATAAAGGTCTGAACATTTCTGACGGCACTGAACTGGAGACATCACGCAGTTCAATTTGGTTTGTCAGTTCTAACCTTAGAATGGAGCCGAGTTTGTAATGCACTACCCTGGCCCTTGCCTTCCTACACAGTTCCGCTCAAATCTAGTTCCACTTAGAGGTGGGCAGATCAATACTAAATATCGATAATATCGATACCAGCACTGGTATTGATATTGAACAATACTCACGTAAAAAGATCGATACTCAAGCTTTGTTCTTTCCTGCACACACTGACTGCTGCACACACGGATTTTTCAAAGTCTACTCTCTGTCTGTAGTGCTGCACTGTATCACACACAGCAGAGAGCAGTCC